TGTGATCTCCAGGCGTCTTTTTGCCCCCTATCACTACGGCCATCTTTCACAACTACTAATCCTTTTTCCTTGTTCAACTTTCATATTCCACCCGACGGTAATTATCAATATAGCTTGACTGTATGCTTGATTAATTTCAGGCTGAGAAAATTGGTTGAAATCTTCAAATTTTTCACCATTGGCTTCAGAGGTTCATGTGTGAGTTGAGTAATAGTCAAATAAACTCATCTTCCTCATAGGTGTGTGGATATTAGTCTATCACAGACAGTACTGTACTTCAAGATAGATCTTGAAATGTTCTCTTTGGCAACGAATGTGGAGCTATCCCTCTTGGATTTGTCATTCCTTGAGTAGTTAACCTTATGATTTCCCAATTCAAGGCGGCCAATACCAGTCCATTTTAGCTCAGTAATGCCTTGGACATCCATACTCATGCATTGCATTTCATTTTTAACAATTTCAATTTTCCTAACTTCATACTTTGTATGTCCTAGCTTCTGACTATTTAATAAATGCTTGCACCTGTTTCTTCTCATTCTGAGTTGTACCACATGAGCAAATGCAGATCCCAAAAGCTTTGCTTTAAGGGACTTGTCATTAAGGTTACCTCCACTTTGAGGAGGTAGTTCTTTCCCAGTTCATACTGTGAGTGCCTTGATGACTTCCTGTTTCCACACCTAATCAGACCATGCCTTGCTGCTATTCACAGGGTTCTCAATGGCTACTCATACGTAAGTGGACTGCTTCTTTCTTCCCCCAGTCTGTCTTTGTCTAAATGCTCTGCTGAAACTTCTCTACCATGGGATACCTTGCTGGCATTTGAAACATCTGTGGTATAGCTTCTAGAATCTGGCATAGCTTCTAGCACCACAACAACACATAAACCATCAAAGTATAACAAGCTGACAGACTAGTATTGATATGACAGGGTGTCATGTCTCATTTATGAATTATTCATTGCTCATCGATATCATCTTCCTCTGACTGATTGAAAACTCCTTGACAGGGATAATCCTAGTAACAGTCACTATATACTTAATTCTGCCTAGGAGCAAGGCACAATAGTAAATACAATGTTAGACATGGCCTGGTCACCTATAGAGAAGGTATCATCTTTATCTTCATTTACCCATGAGGCAACTGAGGCTCAGTAAAGTAAAATAATTTGTTCAAAGTCACTCAAGGAAATAAATGGGGTGGTAAGATAAGAGCTGTGTTTTTCTTAGAAATTGCTTAACTTGGCTTTAATTTGCATTTTTAAAAACCCATCACTAATGCTGTGTGTGTGTGTGTGTGTGTGTGTGTGTGTGTGTGTGCAAAAACACATAGGGAGGCTTCCAAAAGTTTGTAGAATTCCATTATCTATTCATTCCATTTTCCCACACACTTTTGAAGCCCCATGTGTGTTGTTGTTGTTGAATCATGGTAACCCTGTATGTTTCAGAATATATTGTTCAATGACTAATTTTTCAAAAGTAGAAATGGGTATATGATGTATATACATATATATGTGTATGTATATATCATCTATCTCTATATATTTAAATACATAAATAACTTTTTCTCGTCAATAAGAGGGTTTCTTTATCTACAGAACTAGAGCTTGATACCTGCCCGCCTACTTCAAAGGGGTGCTGGCAGGAAAAGATGTGATAACAGATAGGAATGAGCAGTGTAAGCATCTGAAGAATGTCAGGGTTGCTCCCTCTCCTATTTTGATCTCCAGCCAACCATACAAGCCCACTCTTCCAGATGCTGATCCAAAGTTCTTCAACACTCCATTGAAGGGAGCTGCTCTTTCAAGCTGGATAAAAGCCTCCTGCTCTCTTCCGTTATCAGAGACAATAATTGCCGACTTGATGCATGTTCCTTTATCTGACAGACATTAGCTGAGGACCTGTTCTTTGCTATGGAGGATACAAAGAAATTTAAAACATGATCCCTGCCTATCCTTGAGGGATTTGAAGCCTCATTTGAAAGACAAAAACGTAAAAAGGCAATCTGGCCTGTTCCGGCAGGCACACAATGTGAACCACGAGGACTAGGTTTAAGTACCAGCCTCTTCCATCTCGAGCTGGACAATTTAGTCTAGCCCCTCAAATGCATCCACCATAGTGTCCTCCTATGCAATTGAGAAAGAAGACCTCCTTCACAGAGTTACATGTAATGTCATCATTTGTGGCAAAACACTCAGCAGACATAAAGCTTTCGGACTGTAGCTCTCCTCACTGGGCAAGATGCTAAACGAGAATGCAAGAAAACCGGGACAATAGGGGCTGAGTGAATGTGGAGGGCTGGATTGACAGGCTGCACTGAGGCTCCATGGAGAGGGGGGCAGGCTTCCCAGAGCAGAGGAGGCAGATGGGCTTGGGCACCATCGGAGAGAGAGAAAGGAGGAGAGCATCTGTTTTAGGAGGAGGAACCACCCTAGCCAGGGGTTTGAATGGAAGGACCAAGAGCAGCAGCAGACCAGTGTGATGGAGGAAGAAAGTCTGGGGAGACAATGCTGGGGAGAGGCTGAGAAAACGCAAAGGTGGGCTCAGGACGCATTTATTCTGGGGGCTATGGGAAACATCAGAAGGATTTCTGAGCAGCAAGAACATGAAAGGTTGACGTGTTTTGGGAGAATACCTTATAAAAACATAGAGGATGGATTAGAGAGAGTTTGTGTCTGGAAAGACCAGTTTGAAAAACAGGAAACCATCTGGCTAGCAGTGATGGGACATGAACCAGGCCAGGACCTTTGAGAATAGACAACAGAGCTTGGAAGGAAGAGATACAACAATGGGAGAATGTCCTGGACTTGGTCAATAATTGACCACAGGGGTGGTGAGGGAAAAGAGCTAGAAATGACTCCAAATTCCCAGAGTTCAGAAAACAGAAGAACAAAATGTTAAATGGATTGAATTGTCTTCACCCAAAGTTATGTTCAAGTCCTAACCCTTGTACCTATAAGTAGGACTGGTTGCAGAGGGGCTCTCTTCTGTCACATGAATGAGGTCATGCAAGAGTAGGGTGGGTCCTCTAGTGAGTTCCTTCTGAGTGGTGTCATGAAAGGAGCCGGCTAGATAATGAGCTACACAGAGGGTAGATGCCAAGTATAAAGAGGGAGACAAGTGAGTAAGTTTGATTCCTGAAAGCTTCCATGACTGCAGCCCTAGCAAACTAGGAGGCAACGGAATTTAAGAAGAGAGTGATAGATATCATTTTAGACATACAGAGGTTAAGATGAGTTTTTTAATCCAAGTAGAAATCTTTAGAGAATACACGGGGTTCTGCGTCCATTGGAATTCATAGAAAGGAGACAGGGAGCATGTGACCTGTTCACTGGGGACTCAGGGACTGAGCCACAAGCTATTCGACAGTTGAGGGACAAACAAAGAAGAAGCCAAGAAAGAGAAGAGAAGCCGAATTGAGGGGAAGCCAATGAACATTGCTGTAAGTCATAGAACTCTTTAGTAAAAAACCCTCAAAACTGTGAGGCTATTGTTTCTCCAGATATCCTCCATCTGAAGGCCTTCTTCCCATCTCTCTGACCCTTCCCTGAAGAATTCCAGGCTGTCTGATTTACATGACAATAAAAGACCAGTTTAGGCATCCTTCCTTGAGGGACAGACAGCATGTCCCTTTCCAGCCCTCCCCCCTTACCTGCCCCACCGAGCTTGGGTAACTGATAGGAAGTCTGAAGGCGCTAAGCCAGGGCTGTAGGGGATGGATTGGTTCAGAATGTCCACTGACGTTCTCATGGCACAGGCCTTGCCTGCTCTTCTTGAAGAATGAACAGGCTGCACTGGCATGAGGAAAATCAATTCCTAGGAACGACTTTCTTGGCCTTTTTCTCACCAATGCAGTTCCTCACCTTCTTAAAACTTTGTCATAATATGCCCCCGTGATTAGTCTATGTCCTTTGGAACAATCTGTCAAGATTACCCTTTGAGATCCCACCCAACAATCCCCATAACTTTCTGTGCTGGCCTCTCTGTTTTGAATTTAACTGGCCCAGCAGATTCTCCTGTCACTGAAGGCACCTTGATGAGACTAATAAGACCAGCGTGTGACCGAGAGGACTTGTCTGCAGCCATCCATTGATCACAGGGACATGTCTAAGCACGTTTCCTTTGGAATAAATCCCTGGATGGAGGAGCTGTAACTCTAGCAAGGATTTCACTTACCCTCCTTGTACATTCCTTCAGAATAAGGAGTGTGACTCCTTATAGGGAACGCGATCTCTTCTGTTTGGTTGTGTTTCTTAACAACCTTGAAACTGTCCTTTTAGAAATGGAACACTCCTTATGATTTAATTAAAATCCAGAACACTCCCACTGAGGAATTGTAAAGATGAGGACACGTTATGATAGTGTAGAGGAGGAGGAGCGGGGGAAGAGTGCCCGTTGGAAACAGGCAGGTCGCAGTAGTGGGGTCTGAGAGAGCAGGAACGTAAGAGGCGATGCATTGAACATCGAGGTGACGAGAGAAAGGAGCCCTATAAATGGAAGAGACCCTAAAGTTCCCGAGCTTAGGAAATGGAAGAGTGAAGTATTAGGGGTTGAATTGTGTCCACCCTAAAAAGCTCTGCTGAAGCCTTAAGAGGACCTGGAATGTGACCCCATGACTGTAAATATGACCCTTTTTGGAATATGGGATGCCACCTGGATGTCAAACCCCGGAAGACTCCAGCTTTCACAGCTGGGTCTTTGATAGGATCTCCCACAATGAGGACACCGGTGTTCCCCAAAGGGCTAACTCCTTTCTTTTAGATGATCTGCACAAAGCACTCTTCGTTGCAAAGCCAACATGCAGTCTTCTCCCTTGCTAAACAAACTTTGCTAGTCAGAGCAGGCAGTACTCAGCCCCAAGTGAGATACTCACTTTTTTCATCATCCTTTGTGAATAGGGGTGAGTCCTATTATACAATTCCAGGCAACTGGGAGATGCAGAAGGCTGGAAGGTTCTCTGTACCTTGCAACTAAATCCATTCCCCTTCCATGCAATGTCCTTACCTTTTCAGATCCACAGTGGTGACATTGAACACAACCCCTTTCAGCCAGAGGATCATGAAGAGGCGCTGAGAGAAGGGACAGTTGCCGATGCTCTCTCCATCGATTCCAGCCTACAAGAAAGAAACCCAGCGTCCTGAGTTGGCAGGTACATATCATCGGGAAGAAACATAGCATGTGAAGTTCAAAACCTCCATCTAAGAACAATAAAAACCGTGCTGGTCCTTAACCTCAAAAGGCAGTAGCCCTGTCTTCCTTGTTCATCTGTATCCCTCTCATGTCTACCTGGAACAATGCCTGCCACAACGCAGGGGCTCCATAAAGATTCAGAGCTGAACTTAGGCCTCCGGAATTGCTGTGATATAGAATCATAACCAACAAACACAATAGAACTTTAGCCCCTCAGAGTGAAAGAGGACCTCCGATATCCAACAGTCAAACAGAAATGAAGCCGGAACACCGGCTTTGACAGGTCCACATAGTCTTTTGATCTATGCCAGAGTAACTCGAAGCAGTTCATTCTATCCCAGGGCAAGTCTAACAAATGAAAATGCTTTTCTTTGGCTATGTCTAACCCCAATAATGTCCTCTCAAACTTATCTTCCAGCCCCCTTTGCTATTTGTTCCATGATGATTTCAACTTTGCTGGCCCCTCTCCCAAAATATTTAAACTAGTCAGCATGCTCAACACTTTAATCAATACTCTCTCTATAGTTCTGAGTAGTATTTGACCTTTGTGTACTGAACAAAGGCATATTAACTATCAGTTATGTTCAGACCATTGTAAGCAGTTTCACAGAGGATTAAAAATTGAACGACTTTCAGGAGTTTATGGACAACTGTGGGGTAGTGGAGGGATAAGAAAGAATACATACGAGAGTCCAGTTATTGAATCCTGTATGTTTCTGCTCATTAAATTCTCCTACCTGCTACCCTTCTC